CCACGTAAATCTTGTGTCGCCTTTTCTGGTGTAATTTTTCTAGATCTATTTTTTGTTTTATTGCCGTCGTTTTTTCACAACACTTCCCTTAATATATCTTCTTGGGGCTTCAATTCTTTCATCGGAGTCATAAAGAATAGTCAAGTAGCTCTCCTCGTCTTTTGGAATGTCTTTCTTGAATTGCATGGCCAATAGCATTTTAAGTTCCTGCCTCTTAGTCCTTGTTATTGATGCTAAGCAAGCTTGATTCCCTTTCATGATGCACATGCTATTGACAAAGGATATTTGGAACGCTCTTGATTGCTCCAAGAAGTTCATTCCTAAAATAACTTTAAAATCATCCATGGAAATGACAGAGAAGTCCAAGGCACTTGAGCACGCCCCAATACTGACCTTTACTCCTCTAACTATTCTATGGATTGATCTTTCTGTTGAATTGACCACCTTGATGGAGCCTCCTCCCTTAATCATCTGCAAATCTAATATATTAGCGAATCAATCCTCCTTGTTTGAGCCTTCACAATCGGGCTCTAACTTCATCCTTGCATTCTTGGGATAAAATTGTCTCTTTAGCTCTCTCTTGAAATCATTAAATATGGATATGGTGCACATACCTTTCTCGATATCTCCTCTTCTTCTTCACAACCACAACATGGCGATGTCTGGGAGATAAAGGGTTGCAAATTGAATTCTTGCAACTTCATCTGTAATCCTCATCGCTCCAAAGTATTGCTCAAGTATCCATAAGAAGTTATCCCTTCCTTCGCGTTGCGAGCTCCTTCAAAACTCTTTGATTTTGGATCGTCAATCATCTTAGCCTCGAATGTGTGATAGCTGGTGAGCGTCACTAGTGCCCTTTTGCATAGCGAGATGTCTCCACACATTTCCTCCAAGCTAGCATGTACGTCGCTCTTCTCGTCTTCATAAGCTCTTCATACTTCCTGGAGCCTGCCCATTAAATCCTCTTGCATTTTAGCCATTTGATCCCTTAAGGATCCCTCAAGTTGGAGCATCATACCTCTGATCGTTGAATGGATTATGATGTCCACTTCCTCGAGTCCATCAACCTTTTGGTCAAGATCCTCTATCTAGGCCTCCGGGTTATTCATTGCCTCCTCCACTAGGGCAAGGCGCGAATCAAAGTCGTGAATGATCTCCTTTGACCTCCCATGTGGTTTGGATACGACTGGATCTCGTTGCTCATGACGACCTCACCCTTGTTGAGATAATTCCACATCAGTGGCTTCAGACTCCATTACGTGCTTTCTAACGTTCTTTGACATACCTTTGAATCGAAACTCTGATACCAACTGTCACGGACCCACTTATCCCAAGTTAACCGTGCAGCTTTGACGCTCATCTTTAGTATTAAATCAACCTAATATCCCTCACAACAATTGGACTTATAAGAACAAAATACTCTAAGAAAAGTAAGGAAAAGTATTGGAGAAATGAACACTTCACTAAGAAAAAGAATTACAACACTTGAAAGTTTGGAAGCTTGGATGATTTCCTTGGATCCTTCCTTGGATTGTTACAAATGAGGAGAATGACTCCTATTTATAGCCTCATCCAAGCCCAAGGGAAACTTTTAGATTACATGAGAATAACCGAGTTTCTAGAGAGCACTTAACTATTAATATATACATACATAACCCTAAAATTTTCTAGATTATTCTTGAGTTCTCCTTGAATCCTTTCTTTCTCATGTTCTCTATAATTAGGTAGAATCTTTTAGAATAATTAGGTAGAATCATTTAGAATCTCTTGAACCGCTCTCTATAATCGGGTCTTCTCTAGAATTTTCCTTCTCATGCTTGCTTTGCCAATTTCTAAAGGATGGCAGAGCGTGACACCTAGCTTGCTTCCCTTATCCAACAAATTGCACAAAGGAGCTACTACACCAAACCAAGTCCCCTTAGTCTTCTTTGTTTGAGCATGACCCCACCCGAATTCCAACCCATTCCATCTACCTGTGTCAAAACAGTAATCCTACACTTTTATTTTCTAATTTGTTGTTTGCACATTGCATTGCAAATTGTATGAAAAAAGGGTATGGGTTTTACTTTTATTTTATTCTCATCGAGATTGTCACAGTCAACGCCATTAAAGCTTGAAAGGCATACCATTAGGGCAATGGGGTCAATTTTGAAAATTTCTACTCCAGAAAGCGCCTGTTCATGGGGAGAAATAACACACTCATTTGGAAAACTTTTTAAAATTGGGGCTTTAAAATTCTCGTCCGTGGGAAAAGCAAGTACTCATTTGTGGGAATATTGATTTGAGATCTAACTTTTTTGTGAATGTATATTGAAGGCTAGTTGTGTCTTCTAAGATCGAGAGTTAAATTTATATTTTTCTTTCCGATCGTAGTGTCTTACAACATTGACCGGTGTGTCTTTTAAGATAGGAAGATTGTCATTCACCCGTGCCCCCAAAAGGGAGCTGGCATCGGGAGGCTGTCAGAACTTGGGGCGATTTCATATTGTAAAACCACTCTTACACTGGATTTTCAAACTAATAAAATAAATAATTAAATTTTAAAATAAGTTGAATATTTTGAGATTTTAAAGTTTTTAGGCTCCTCATGTTTGAAAGTATTCAAAATTTTAAAACTATAAAATTTTAGGCTCTTAGGGCTTTAAAAATAATATCAATTTTTTGGTTTTTTCAAACTTGAAATTCTAAAATTTAAAATCAAAATCAGTGAGAATTTTTAAACTCGAGTCACGATGGTTCAATTAATCCAAAGTTGAGCTTTCAAAATTAATAACTTAGGGTTTACAATTAATCCAAAAAATTGAAATTTACAAATCTAAATTCTTAGCTTTGAATCATTTGAATTGACCTAAATATTAAATATTTGTACTTCCAAAAGTTAATACATCTGGGCCTTAGTCGAATTTAAAATTGAAGTATTAAAATTAGCAAGGCTAAGCTTAAGTTGAAATTCAAATACCCCAAATTGAGGAGTTAAGTTTGAATTAAAAAAAAAAAAAACGCCACCAAATTTGCAATACACCTACTAGCAAACAGAATGTGATAAAATGCTTAAAAATAAAAACTTATATCTATTTGATTTAATTCATGTTTTACAATCATATGAATTGCCTTAAGACATCAAATGCTCCAGCTAAAATAGCTTAAATACATAAATTAAATGCCCGCATGTGCTCCAAACAATATATTTGATGCACAAATACTATAGATTCGAGAACTTTGTGGTCGCCTTGTCTATAGGATAGAATTATAAGTCTCACCCCACCAGTCCAATCTTTCTCATCGTAAGGACTGGAGTTGACGAGGCTAGTAAGCCCAAATAAAGGTCTAAAACCTAAAATAAGAATTTACAAGTTCAAGTCACCTAACTTGATCTTATTTCTTGACTGACATGAGTCGACATGACTCATACCTTAAAAGTCTAAATTAACAAAACTAAATACCTCTTTCAAATATAAAATTTTTAAAATATTCAATATTTTGATATTGACTGAGTGGATCGAAAATTTCAACCGAAAAGGTTATTTTTTAAATTAAGATTTTCAAAGTAATTAACCAAATCTTCCAAGTAAAATTCAATCACTTAAAATTTAAAAGCAAAATTTATTTACCCTTCGCAACAGTTTATCGAGGGTGACAAATTTATGATTGACTTCATCTCACAAAGAGCTAATGTCATATGGAATGTACATCTATATTTAGAATCAAAGTAATTGCATGTCAGTAAGGACGTGACCTGAGACCTCTATCCACGTGGTTTCACCGCCAAATAACACCACAAAACAATAATTACGACCAGAGCCCTCTGACTGAGTGGTTGCTGTCAAATGACACAATTATATTACGGTCACGACCGCAACCATATGTTCCCCAATGATTTTATACTCTTGGAGTTGTGAATCATAAGGGTATAATTGATTGACGTAAAACCTTAAGTTAGCTAAGGTTAACTTAAATTTGTCACTTTAGACAAACATCCACCTTAGATCTACAATGATTTTTTGGACGACACAACTCATGGCTATTAAGAAGTCCTCTGACTAAGTAGATCAAGGATCACGATGACCCGGGATGACAAAACCATATGATTTTGATTGGGTTTCGTCTTTATTCCCCCACCATCTGCTTTAAACTTCAAGTGATGAATTGTACAACTTAAATTCTAAGTTTAATGCTATTATATGTTAAATATTTAATTTTTAATGTCTAACCTTAATCAAAAGTGTTCTCCCATTATCAGGAGGTGTAATAAACCATAAGGGTTTGCGCTTATTGAAAACCTCGAACCACATATCAAAAAGTCCTAACAAAATGAAGGTGAAATCTGTGAATAGCGTTATATCTATAATCCAATTTGTTTTCTGAAAATTCAAAGACCTAAAACTCTCTCAAAACAAAAATAAAATTAAATGAAGAGTTTCCTAGGGAGCGGTCGAAATTTTTGAAGCCTACAATATGTTGTTATATATTATATATATGCTATATTATAAGAAAATTGGTCTTACTTGTAAAGAAAGTAACATGGACAACCCTTTTGATTCACATTCTTTTATGAATACAAGCGCTTTCATTATAAAATAATTTAAAAACTACTTGTCCAAAAAATAAAATAAATAATAACTATTTGATATATTGGTGTGAGCAAAACCGAACAAATTTTATTTATTAGATATCGCCTGAATCGTAAAGAGCGTAATAAAATAATAATTATGTTTGTTATTACATTCTAAATGAATATCATGACATGCCTAAAAATATGAATTTGTTAGCTTATATTTTTTTAGAGATGTGTTAAGAAATATAATTTAAAAAAATTAGATGATATGAATGTTATTTTTCCTAATTATATAATGGTGGGTAATGGTAAGAACAAACAACAGGATGGTGATTAAAGCTTTGACAATAAAGAAAATTATGAAACTAATTGTAAGACTATAAGAAAAATTGCATTAAATTACAACGAAGATAAAGAAATTTTAGTAGATGAGAGTGAAGCGTACTTAATTCTATCAATTCCTTCTCTCCTGAGAGCATTCGGATCCACTCCCGCCTTATGTGCCGCGATAACTCCCACAGCTTCCCAGTAATTTTTTACCCTAACCTGCCAAGTGAGAATCAATGAAATCAATCTGAATTTCACTTTCGGTGGATTTTCAATTATATTTGCAGTAAAAGAAACAAGCAATTAAAAATAATCTATTTGGCTGAAAAATTGGACAGCGTTTTCCTACTTTTTTAGAATTTTTTCTATTTAGAAACTATGCAGAGTTCGTTGGGGCACTTTATGAATCCTGCTTTTGTTGTTAAAATTCCTTTCTATAGGTTTAATCTGGCGCCGCCACACTGTGTAACACTAGAATCAAAATGGAAAATAAAGTTTAAAAACAGTAAAAAACTAGCATTCAAACGGACAGGCTAGCTGTTTTTATCATAAAAGTTGTCCCAAACGAACATCTGAAAACAGCTTCTTAAAAAACTGATGGCTAAAACAAATCATTTGAGGCAGTTTGTGCTTTCCCTTTCTTTGTAATTATTTTTTTAGAAGATATAAATCAGATACAATCTCTCTTTTGCTTTACCAAAAATAATTTTTAAACGAATCTTGCAAAAATCAGGAAAAAATGTACAATATTCTATTTTTGCTGGCCACTTTTCCTAATACAAATGCGATAAAAAACTGTCCCAAACAAATAATTTTAGTATCGAGATAGATTTGTTAAGTATCAGAATGCATACCGCTTGAATTCCAAGCTTCTCAGGAGTGTCATCAAGTACCGTTTCATTCTCCTCAACAGCTACTAAGAGGGGCTGCATGCAAACAGTAACTAAATATAAAGCAGTTTCCTGAATTTAATATATTCAAATTCAACTTAAAAAAGAGTTAAAAGTGTCAAAATAGTCCCCTGCCTATTTACATAGGGTCATTCTAAACCCAAGTAATAAACGTGTGAAGTTTGATATGGGCTAAAATAGCTCTTGTTGAGAGTATTTCAACCTATATTAAAAGTCCTAGAACTAAATTGACACTTCTATAAACTCTGAGCCGCAAGTGACCCTGAGCAAAAAGACAAAGGACCATTTTGACACTTTCTCCTAACAAAAACACAACTATAACAAAATTACCTTGTTTCTTCTGCTGCTCCTGGCAAAAGCTAGAGCAGCATCACCCCCACAAGCATCAATAGGTAGAATTACACTGTCAATATCACCAGTGACTATACAGCCATCATTACAGGAACCTTGCCAGTCTACTAAATATTGAGGCGCTTTACTCAGTCCAGAAAGAACACAAGGCAGGAAGGTATATCCTAGCTATTGCACGCAACAAAAGAATAGTGGTGAGGCTAAGCATATACGTTATCATTGCATGGCGTCTCTCAAATAAAAGAAAGAAAATTAGATAGAAATATTTAGATGCATACCACTCAATTCTTATGTAATGTGTCTAACATCTATACTTCACTTTTTTTTACATACCCCACCTTAGCCAGGCAAGAAAAAATGTATTTCACCTTTAAAAGTAAAAAATGGTGGTATTTTTTATGTGATATGAAAGATTTGGGTGGTATACAAATTAAGAATAAAACTATATTGTTAGATATGTAAATACATAGGAATTGGGTGGTATTTATGTAAATGCCCCTATTAAATGATGCTAGAAGCATTCAAATCTTTTCGTTAGAACTAAAACATTCTAAAATATGATAAGAATACAGAATTAATGGCACTATTTTGCAAAATAATATTTACTCTATATATCTATCCAGTCTATGGAAGATGGGTGGCCCTTGGCCTCCTCCATTAAATTTGAAAAAAGTCTATGTAACTACGTGTAATAAAAGGCATTATCTCTTTAAATTCTCCTCCAAGAATTTAAAAACTCTTTGTCAAATCTCCAATAGAACGTATAAAATCATACAAAACCAGGAAATCTTCACACATACCATTGTATAATTTGTCCAAAAGATCCGCTCCAAGGTTGTTATTTACAAGATAAAAAAAGGTGTAATGAATCATCATCACAAATATCCATATTCAGCTGTTTGAATTTGGCTTTATGCACTCTCTTTTTTCGATCGTTCATATGAAATCAGTGTTGGAAGCGTTAAATTTATTCTTAACAAATCATTTTGAACAACTTCTATCCGTTATATTACATCTACACATCCTTCCCTAATGATTTAATGTGAATTTTATCTGCCAATTCAATGAGCAATTTTTCTGCCACCGATTGTATTCACTAACCGTATGTAATAACAATAAACAAACTTGCTTCGATGGATCAGATGGAAATATATTTTATTTAACAAATTGAAATAAATTTTATTTAACAAACCTTATCATAATCAAACTGATACTCTAAAACCAAAATAAATTGAAGCCTATATGCATTACTAACCCATAAGTTTATTGTATGACTCGTTAATTTGACTTATCTTTGATTAAAATAAGTATTAACATCGTTTTTATCATAAAATCAAAGCGCTAGAAGGCTTCTTCTCCAAGTATTTAAAAGTGACGTGGGCCATCTTAGAAGTCTACATGTTAGGCAAATTACTACATCTCTTTCAATGCAAATCAAAACGAATATAAGAGTCGCTCCAAATAATATATTAAAAGTAGCTTAAAATAGTTGTTTTTTTGCAAGAAATATTAATTAGAAAAACCACATAATAATTAGATTATACTCCACAAGAACAAATTATGTCAAATTTGGTCTAGTTGCAGCCACAAAAAAAAAATCACAAAGTATGTAGATGAAAACAATATGAATAGAAATCATAAAAAAAAGTCATATCCCATGCCTACCAAAACTTGCACCACTCTAAGAATCCACATTCAATAACACAAATTCAAAACAGAATCCAAATTTCACTAAACATTAATATGATTTTTAATATTCTTTGAAAGTAGTATTTATAGTTAAAAAAACTAAAATAGTTTCTCAAAATCTTAGAATATGGCCAACAATTGTATTTTCTGTGATTCAACTAAAGAGACTTCTAAGTTCAATTATAGTGCCAAAAAACTCCTAATCCACAGCCAAACAACTTTCCAGAGTTCAACTATAGTGTAGCATGGCCAAAATCAGTAACTTCCTAATTTATGCAATAAAGAGAAAAATACGGAATCCATAAATAAGGAATTGACAACCAACAGCAACAAGCAGTAAGTCATACATAAAAGGTAACCTATAAACAGCCACATAGGAGAATAAAAATAAACATGCGATCATAGGTATGTTATAAAACTAGACTAGAAAAATAGAAAAATCAGAAATAAAACTAAAGCAAAAATCAAATACTTGGCAGGAAAAACATCAAGAGCGTACACTGCATTTCCATTAAGTATAAACCTTCAGATCTATATCAAATCTTCCTAACTTCAAAACGAAAAAAAAAAAAGACTAAAAAAAATGAGCATTTGATGTTCATCAACTATAGGCAGATTTGTCATACAATTGGATAAGGCATATTTGATATCCACCATTAATAAGGGGCGTAATCTCATCATTTAGAAAAGTTTCGTGAATAACAAGATCTATCTAATATAGTCTTGGGTGAGAAATGAAATCTACACAAATGCATTGAAAGCTGAAATAATACCAAACTTCGACGGATTTATAATTTATTTGCACTTTTCCAAATGTTTTGTATGATTATGTATGATATAGCCTATTTTGCAATTAATTTCTTATTCAAAAGAAAATATTTTAGAAATCAAATATATCACTATCTTATCACATTGTTTGAATTTGCATAACACTTATTTATATAAAAGGAATACTTATAATTACCAAAATTAATAGTTAATTTTTAGGTAATATCTTCACGAAAGTTGTGCATGTGTTATGACCAGGGATGAGCCGGTAAAGCAACCCAACCGGCCCACCGCAATAGCAAGTGAGCCGGTCTTTGATGCGAAGAGAGGCGGCGCGGTCAAGAGCTGCGGCAGAAGAAGACATGGAGCAGAGGGGTCCACTAGAGCCATAATCACATACTCAAGAAGGAGAAATTAAGGAGCCTAAAGGGAAAGTTCGGAAGGAAAGTTTGAAATGCTGTGGGAGGATTCAGTTAAGTGGAATAACCTAGGATTTGTTTTATTTATGCATGTTTTGTGGGCTGCGGTGTTTTTCTTCTACTTGTGGTGTTCCTAGCAACATTTAGGGTTTTGGGAGAGTCGATCTACCTCTCAAAAAGTAGATCGCCATTATATCTTGCTTGTTTTTATGTGTGTTTTGTAAAAGTAGCCCTTATTTGAATTGTTCCCATCTATCTAATGTCGTTTCGTCATTATTGTTTGCTGATATTGGTTCCGAAGCATATCAAATTGGTATCAGAGCCTAGATCTTAGTAGGATAACAACAAAGAAAGTAGATTTGCTAGAAGGGAAGGTAGAGCAAATCACATCCGAAATGGAAGATAGGTTCACCACCACGGAGGACAAGTTTTCTTCTATTAAAAGTCCAATGGAGGACGGATTTGAGAGCATAGAAGAAATGCAAGAGATAATGAAAAAGCTCATGAAGATGCAATCCAAGGCCATGTCGATCGCTCCAATTGCAAACCCTAACCAAAAGTTGATCAGAGAATCCTTGACAAGGTCAAAAGAAAATGAGATCGAGAAAGAAGACAACGAAGAAGACATCATCTACCAACAAGAGCACTATCCTAGGACTCCGAGAGGAGAGAGAGTGAATACTTCTGAGGGAGGGGATAGGCCGAAAATTAGAGGGATGGTGTAAGAGGCACTGAAGAGCAAGATGGAGGAATGAGAGAATTAGAAGTTGGATATGTCTATGGCTGAAGAAGAGAATTCCAACCTAGATACATGGGAGGAAATACCAAAGGAATAGGAGGTTGGGTTGGAGATGCATTGGCCAAAAAGCTGAAAATGTCAATCTTCGAAGAGGTATATGCACATGAGTGGGTGTATCGGGTAGAGCGATACTTTGCAATCAATGGGTTAACTGAGAAAGAGAAACACATGACAGTGAAATTATGCTTGGAGAGAAAGGCTTTAGCGTGGTTTCAGTGGATGGAGGCATGGTATCCGATGCAGTCATGAGAGGAGTTTAAGGATTGCTTGTTGGAATGTTTTCGAGTAATTCGGGAAGGAGATCTGCACGAGCAATCATATACTCTAACTCATGAGAGGACGGTTACGGAATACCGAGAGAAGTTTGAGCTCTTGTTAGGAGAGGTCGAGAGAGATTTTTGCAGCAAACAGAACGGGAACTTCTTGAAAAATCTAAAGCTCGACATACGAGAAGTCACATCCGCCCTTTCAGACCGCGAGGATTAAGAGAAATGATGAAGCTCGCCCAGATGATGGAGGATAAGAAACATGTGAAAAAGAACATGTGAAAAAGACCAGCAAAGGTGGCAACACCGGAGGATTCTACAAAAAGACCTTGACAGCTACGACACCGAGGACCCAAACCGTGTCATTTCAGAAAGAGACATCGAAGAAGAAGAATACAGGGACTTGTCCCAGAGATAATTTCAAGTTTCTCACAGATGTAGAAGTGCAGGAAAAAAACAAAAGAATTATGTTACCGTTGTGATGAGAAATATATCCCAAGCCACTGTTGTAAGGAGCACGCCCTGCAGATTCTTTTAATTTATGAGAAGGATACAGAGAGTAGGGATCAGAAGAGGAGGAAACAGTGGAGGAGGAGCATCTGCATTTGGATGTGGCGGAGGTGTCCCTCAATTCGGTGATGGGATTTACTCTGAATCACACCATGAAAGTGAGGGGGTGGATCCGGAAAAAGCTGATTATGGTGTTGGTAGATAGTGGGGCCAAACATAACTTTATCTCAAATAAGTAGTGGAGAAGCTAGGGTTGGCGTGACTACATGGAGTTTCAGCGTCATGAAAGGAATAGAGAAGGTAGAGAGAAGTGGGGAATTTGCAAGAGGTTGATTTTGACACTATATGGTCTACAAGTGGTGAACTTTTTTCCCTTATATTTGGGCAACATAGATGTGATTTTAGAGATGAAGTGGTTGCAAACACTGGGGAAGATAAAGGTGGATTGGAAGTCCTAGCGATAGAGTTCCAAGTGGAGGGTAGGAAGGTGATGCTGAGGAGATGCTAGTTTATTCAAAATTATGGTTTTGCTAAAAACAATGGTCAAGTCAATTCAAGTAGCAGAACTGAGCTACTTGGTGGAGTTGCAGACATTGAAGAGATTCGAGATTCAAAGTTGGCAAAGTTTCTTGAAGGGGTCCAGCAACTCCTACAACAATTTACGAATGTCTTCCAACAGTCAATCGAGTTACATCCCTCGAGGGAGCAAGAGCACGCTATTACATTGAATGATGGTTTTCCCTCATCAGCATCAGACCATACAGATTCCTCCAAATCCAGAAGGATAAGATAGATAAGCTGATCCGAGAGATGCTCGATGTCAGGATTTTCAGGCCTAGTGTGAGTCTTTTTTCCAATCTCATCATATTTGTGAAGAAAAAAAGATACTAGTTGGAGATTATACATCAACTACTGGGTTTTGAACAAGGAGATAGTGTTGAACAAGTTTTCTATTCATGTGATTGATAAGTTATTGGATGAGTTTTATGGGACAATCATTTTCTCAAAAATTGATCTTAAATCGGGATACCACCAGATCAGGATGAATCTTCGGATGTGTACAAAACAGCGTTCAGGACATATGAAAGACATTATGACTTTTTTGTGATGTCGTTTGGCCTCACCAATGTCTCGACGACATTTCAGTCCCTTATAAATAGGATTTTTCAACCTTACCTTCAAAAATTTATCCTAGTCTTCTTTGATGACATCATATTCTACAGTCGTACAAAAACAAAGCATGTGGGGCACCTAAGGACAGTCCTGGAAATGTTGAGGGAGTACCAGTTGTATGTCAATTTAAAGAAATGTTTTTTTGCATAGTTACAGGTGGAGTACGTAGGACATGTTGTGACTAAAAAGGGAGTAGCAGTGGATCAGTCCAAGATCAAGGCTATGGAGGACTGGCCCTTACTAAAGAATTTGAAGGAGTTGAGAGAAGCCCTCTATTACCGGAAGTTCGTGAGGGGATATGGCATGATAGCATGGTCATTGACGGAACAATTGAAAGATAATTTCAAATGAGGGGAAACAACAACCCAAGCATTTAAACATATGAAAAGAGTCGTGACTAGTGTTTCAGTATTATCACTTCCAGATTTTAGTAAACCGTTAGTGGTAGAAACAAATGCATCAGAGTATGGTTTAGGAGCAGTGCTCATGTAATACCAACGACCGATTGCCTACTTTAGTTGGGTTCTTATTGCCAAAGCAAGACTAAAGTTAGTATATGAACGTGAATTGATGGTGATTATCTTGGTCATTCAGAAGTGGCGGCCCTATCTGTTGGGACTACATTTTCTGGTCAAGACAAATCAGAGTTTAAAGTATCTTCTAGAGGAGTGGATGGTAACTGAGAAGCATCAAAGATGGCTATCCAAGCTACTGGGATATGATTTCGAGATTCAATATCGGTCATGATTGGAGAACAAGGCTGTCGACGCACTATCGAGAAAGTTGTAGGAACCCAATTGACGGTCCTATCAGTACTCTTGATCCTAGATTGGGAAGTCTTGAGACAGAAAAGCGAATGGGATGAGGAATTAAGGAAGATAAGGGCCGAGTTACTACATGACCCGAGCAGTAATCCAGGATATGCATTAATACGCCAACAGCTGCTCCACCATGAGCGATTTGTGCTACCCAAGGCGTCAAAATCTAGTCCCGGATTATTACAAGAGTTTCATGGCAGTACGATTAGGAGACACTCATGGCTACAGAAGAACTACAGTCGTCCAGCGACACAATTACTTGACCACAGAACCAGGAGGTTTACTACAACCATCAACATTATCGGGGAAGGTTATGGAAGAAGTGACGATGGATTTTAATGAGAGATTTTCATAATCAAAAGGGTTCACGGTAATCCTGGTGGTCGTGGATCGCCTGAGTAAGTATGCAAATTTCGTCCCCTCAAGGTACCCCTACACTGCGGTCTCAGTCACACCGGTATTTATCCGAAAAGTGGCCCATTTGCACGGAGTGCCGGAATCGATAGTATCAGCTAGGAACAAAGTGTTCCTCAACCACATCTAGAAAGAGCTATTTTGATTGCAACGGACAGTCCTTAAGAGAAGCACCACAAATCATCCCCAGATCGATGGGTAGACAAAGGTGGTCAGCAGGAGTGTGGAGACATAACTATGTTGTTTTGTATTAGATATGTCGAAGCTATGGGTCAAGTGGATTGTGTGTGTCGAATATTGGTATGATACATTGTACCACATCGCAGCACAGACAACCTCATTTAAGATATTGTATGGGTGGGATCTACTTCACTTGATACATTATGGGCATAGCGCTAAAACAATATCCAACGTCGATCAATACTTGGAGGAGAATGACGGGATACAAACAAAGCTCAAAGGGCATCTAATGAGAGCTCAACAAATCATGAAGAAGAAGCGGATGAACACGGAAGAGATGTGCAGGTTGAACCAGGGAACATGGCCTACTTGAAATTGAGGCCCTACCGACAAAAGACGTTGGTCTGGAGGTGCGAGAAGCTTTAACCACGAAACATTGGATCTTATGAGGTAATGATACGCATTGGGGCAGTGACTTACCGCTTGAGGTTTACCACCGTTACCCTCAGTACACCTGGTCTTCCAGGTATCACAACTAAGACATGCGATTGGAGACCATACAACCTCGTCTAAACTACCCCTGATGCTAACGAAGAACTTGGAGGTAATTCTGGAGTCGTTAAAGATCGAAGGACTGCACCGAGGAGTAAGGTGAGCAAATAAGGTATTGGTTAAGTGAAAAGGGTTGTCATATTATAAAGCAACATAAGAGCCTTACCAGGTGATCCAAAAGGAGTTTCCATCAATCCACCTTGAAAACAAGAAACTTTTTTGGGAGGAGAGTAGTGTTACGCCAAGGGAATACCTGGTCCCTCCTGGACTAGCCGAACGCAACCCAACCGACATGCCACAACAGCGGGCAGGGCTACTAGGGCTATAATCACATACTTAAGGAGGATAAATTAAAGGAATTTGGAAAGAAAGTTTGGAAGGAAATTTTGAAATATTGTGGGAGGATTTTATTGAGGTGAATAACCTATGGTTTGTTTGTTTTTTTATGCATGTGTTGTGGGCTTCGGTATTTTTCTTCTTCTTGTAATGTTCCTAGCGACGTCTAGGGTTGTGGGAGAGCCGATCCATCTCTCGAAAAGTAGATCACCATTGTGTCTTGTTTGTTTTCATGTATGTTTTGTAAGAGTGGCCTTATTTGAGTTGTTCCCATCTATCTATTGTCATTTCGTCATTTTTTCTTGATGATTTTGGTTCCGGAGTGCATCAATATGTCACTCAAATGATGGTGCAAACTCAGTAGTATTGGATGCAATAAGAGGTTTTATTAAAAGCCACATTTTTATCAACAAGCGCAATTAACAAGGATAGCAAAAGAAAAAATACATACAACAAAAAAAAGATAGCATAAAGCACACGCAACCATCTGAGTCCAAAAACATGTATGATAAAAATATTTGTTAACATAAGAATAAAAAGGGTAGCCCATGCAATAAATATAAGAATAAAAGTTCTCTTTTTTAAAGATATTATATAACAACGCGTCTCTATAATCTATATGATAAAAATAATTGTTAACATCCATTGCATTATAAAGAATTCCTTTTAGCTTTCTGGTTCAATCTTTACAATATCCAATATAGATCTCCAAATCTCTGAAGTTGTCTTATTTGAAACTAAAGTTTTATCCTTGTGCATCTACTTTAGAACAAACTCCAGTTCACTTATTGCCCACAATCAATTCCCATGTTATAAATCATAACAAATTTTATTGGATAACAATCTTATTGGTCAAACCCAATTAGTTTCTCTAAATAAATAGAGCAGTCAATACATGCATTAAACCCCTTCAATACAAAATTTGAATTATTGATGAATGTGCAGTAATACAATCGTTTTAGAGAGGTTGTTTCCTTGATTCTAAACAATTTTCTCCAGATCACAATCAAAGAAATCTAACCATCACTAAGAACTCGTTGTTGAACATAACTTATAACAATAATACGATACTCAGATATGTAAATACATAAGAATTGCGTCCCCCATATGTAAATTTCCTTGAACTTGTTCCACTCTGTTAAACGTATAAATTCAAAGGATATTCTGTTCATGAGTTGCAAGGAAAAAAGCTCAAGATTCAGAAACTAAATTTCATCTCCTTGAGTCAAGATTCAGAAACTACACAGAATTAAAGGGTAAAATGATTTCTTTACTGACCTCTTCTGCAGCAGACTTTGGGGACAGTGATGAGCAGAGAGGAGCAGGTAATATTGCAGGTGAATGGGCACAAGGAATCTGAAACTTTTCCACAATAAGATGGCTAATAACCGCCTCAACTCCAGCCAAAGAATCTATGCCCTGCAAAATTTTATATTAAACAAGAAAATGGTTCAAAATTAGGCCCAAGAAAAGTAAGGTTTACAACGACGACTCTTCAAAACAAGAAATAAATGCTAACAAACAAAAAAGATACACTAGAGCGACGGCAAAGGGGCGGGTGGTGGCTGGCCAGCAGGTACTTACGCCTGTAAAAGGTGGTGGAGACAGCAGGGTGGTTGGAGGTGGGTTGCAGTTTTGGACAGCAGGAAGGAAAGGGGTGGTGGCTGTAGATGAGAACAGAGCAGGGGATTGCTTTGGCAGTAGGATTAAAGTTGGGAAGGAGCTGCGTGCAGGGTCAGCAAGGTTGTCATGTGAGAAGGTGACAGGTTGGAGCAGTAGATGGAAAAGCAAGTTACGGGATGGCTGAAGGGTTGCGGGTGGAACTCGAGACAGGTGGGAGAGGGGGCGGCTCAGCAGGTAAGATAGGGAAGGGGTAGCGACACTGATATGGAGCAAGCATATAATTTACAGCAGGAGGTGTAAGGCAACAATGGCAGAGAATGAGGTCAACAGGAGGTTGCGGAGGGAAGTGGGGAAGGATGGCAATCCCGCGGTGTCGACTTACAGTAGGAACACCCCTCGAAACTTTGAAGAAGATCACCACCTCAGAGGAGTTACAACCAGAGCACCTCATCGACATCAAATAAAACCCGAAAATGAAAAACAGCCGCCGATAACTAGCTTAGACATAAACACAGCAAAAACCAAACCCCAAATAACATTAACATATATTTATAATAGGCGAAATAGGGGGAGGGGGAAAATACGGCACATGCTGCCCATTAGCCTCAACCAACTGAACCAGCCTTCCTGCTGGACTGCATCCCTTGCAGAACCAACATGTTCAGCCCAAAAACAACTGTGTCACATGCTTAGTTATTTTTAAGATCAAGCTAGTTTGTTTTAAAAATAAAAATAAAAATAAAAACAGGGAAAATATGGACTAAACAAATATGTTTTTTTAAATAAAACCAAAAAAAAATTTTAAAAAAAATATAGTGATTCCAAACAAGTCCCAAGTATTCCAAAAGAAAAGCGGAGAAGGAAACTTTCAAGTAAACTACGGATAAACATTGGCAAAATATTACACTATAAATTAGTATTCGAGTAATATCAATCCCACATTAACCTTTATGGCAGTGAAACGTCTTAATAGAAGTTTAAATGGAAGTTGAAAGTTACCTTTCCTTGCCGATAATCTTCCATTTCGTCTAAGTCATCATCTGGAAAACGCCCAACAATAGCTACGGCATTTACATGTGAACGATTGACTAAAATATCAACCGCCCTAAGTAAAGAATCAGGGTTCTTAATCCTCCCCGTTGACTGCCCACTCTTGGGGTTGACCCATTTTTCAACCTACAAAATAATGAGAGATGTTTAAGTTTCTCTTTTAAGGCCTAAGGAGATTTTGAGTTTTCTTTTTATTCCTTTTTAATGAAGTTGATAAAGTTACACAGTAATTCATTTTTGTTTGATATGAAGTGAATTCAAGGACTACAAAAATCATGGTTCAATTTCTTCATGGATCTGCTACAAATATCACATTAGTACAATACATTCATTTTGCCGCAAAGCAAGTAGCCTTTTAAGTGGTTTGTTGGTTGATGGAACTTGAAATCTTCTAGAAGCGTTTTAAATGTACAAAGAAAAGCGAGTCCGATATGATTAAAAAGTATGATCAATATTCAACATATATTTCAAACATAATGCTCCTGCAGATGCTTATCAGTTGTTAAATGAATAGAATCATAAGCTTACATAAAGTAATGCAAAACAATAAGTATGATCCTAAATATGTAGGGTGAGGGGTATGGGGAAGGCTAACTTATCAGTTTTACCACTTTTTGTGAAGAGTTTAATCTAAAAGCTTGAACGCATAATGTCTAGATCTAAGCGAAGACAATTAAATCATTGCTCCACCCACCCTCACACATGATGCAAATGCAAATAAGAATTTGATACCTAAAATATATTCAATTTGCATCTGCAGTTCGCAAAAAATGCAGAAGTTTACATCATGTGCTCGTATATGAATGTTCCATGACGATAATTAGAAAAAATTCAATACTGATATTTATAACTCTTCATACATTATTCTTTACAACTTGAAGTATCAACATTTTATATGCCAGTACGTTATACTATGAACTTTTGTTTTGCTAATAAAATGACGGAGTCACTAAAAATAATTAAAATTTCAATCAAATTAAACCGAGCAGCAAGTTCCTAAACTGGCTATAAATAAATTTTAAGTAAAACATAAGTTCATAATTGCTCCAAATTGATATGAAACACTTCCAAAAAGTGTAGACAAACAAGTAAATACAGCCTTATGCAAATTTACATGGGTTTGTGTACATGTGGATACTTTTTCACTAGAAGTTGTAAAACTTTTCCCTGTGATTTTGATTTTACACCAGTTCTTTCCTTCCCTAATTTGACTTCGAGTCAAAGAAATTTCATTCAGAATTGGCTCAAAACCGGTGGCCTTCCAGCAAAGCTAGTTTAATTAAAAAATTAATTTATTTCCCAAGATAAGTTCAAGTTGAACTAAAATCAACGATTTAAAATTCCATTCTGGCTTGGTTTAATTAAATTTTGATTAGCTGCCCTTCATTATTATTATTCCAGTTTTAATAAATTGGAATTACCTAAGATGACATTTTTCTAGCATTTCTTGGTCTAACAGAGCTTGAATAGAGTGACGTAAAATCTGCATGAAAGGAAAAACAGGAATAGCGCTAAAAAATTGATATTGACGATTATTAGCACCTAAGAAACAAAAAAAAAAAAAAAACACCGAGACTTTACATTGAATTTCTCTTTTCTTTGTTTGATTGTTGAAAGTTTTACATACATACCACTCAGTTCCCATGTCTTTGCATAACTAACACCTTCGCTATGCACGAAAAAGGTGTATTTCACATTTTAAAAGTTGAAATTATGATATTTTTTATGTGATACAAAAGATTTGGGTCTATAAATGTAAAAGTAAAATTTAAGTGTTAGATATGAAAATTCATAGGAATGGAGTGGCATGTATGTAAATGCCCCTTTATCTTTTCATCTTCGGCATTTATTATCCAAAAAAGAGTCATAAGTGCACCTCCAAAGGAAAGTCGGTGACAATATATTCCAGGACCGGCAAGCCTAATGAAGCCCTTGATGCATCCGCAACTTGTCGATGACGAATCTGCAGCTCTTCCTCCATTCCAGCATCAAGAACCAGACCTATCTATGTTAATTGATGAAATTTTTGTAAGAGAACATCAAAATATCGATTTTATGAAATCAACTTAACAAGAAAAAATAAATAAACATCTTCCGTCAGTAACCAACTTCACATATCATATGCCTTAGTGGCTAACTCTATAGTGGCTAACTCTAAAAAAAAAAAAAGATATATGCAGTTAGCTCAAGCATTAGTTGTAGGAGTCTCAAAAGTTGAAGCTACACGTCAGCTCGACCCGAACTCGACTTGAAATTTGGGTTTAGGTTGAATCGAATAAATTTTTAGTCAAGTTTGGATTAGGAATCTTAACAGGTTTAATTTTTTTGGGTCAGGTTCAGGTCGACCCACCAACCTAAAATTGACCCAAAACATACCGCTAACCCAAAATTAACTCAAAATCAGTCTGTCAACTCGAGATTGATTTGAAATCGATTCGAATTTAGCCCAAATAACTGTTGTTTTATGTTAAACGGGTTATATGGGCCGATTCGGGCTGGACATTCTACACCGTTTAATATTTGAGTTAGGTCAATTTTGGGTAAGACCACCACTAGTGACAGCACTAATTATTTGCAGCAAGTATTTAGGTTCAACTAATTGGTAGAACCTAGTACAAAAAGTTCAATCACTAAGGTCTTTTGTTTGGCAACAAACAATTTAGAAACATAATCCATTAACTTGATAATTTAGGTTGGTGAACTTGAGGAAAAGAACATCACAACCCATTCGACAATCAAAGGTATGATGGTCCAACTGAAGAAGTCTTTAAGGGAAAAAATGGCTAAGTTTTGGGAGGACTTGATGGGGGAGCTCCAGAAGGTACGAAGAGCCCATGAAGACGAGATGAGCAGCGTATGTGCTAGCTTGGAGGAGATGCGTGAATTCATTTCGCTATGCAAGAGGGCACTAGCGATGCCCGCCAACCATCATACCTTCGAAGTCAAGCGTATCTAAGTACCAAAACCTAAGAGTTTTGGGGGAGCTCACAATGCAAAGGAAGTAGATAACTTCCTATGGGGACTCTGTCAATACTTTGGAGTGATGGGGATTACAGATGAAGGTGCAAGAATTCAATTTGCTACTCTTTATCTTTCAGACATCGTTATGCTGTGGTGGAGAAGAAGAAGAGAAGATATTGAGAAAGGTATGTGCACATTTCTACCTTTGATGACTTTAAAAGGGAGTTAAAGAGATTATTCTACCTGAAAACACAGGATGAGGCTAGAGCCAGATTACGAAGGCTCAAGCAAACGGGATCGATTCAGGAATATATTAAGGAGTTTACGGATCTGGTCTTGAAATTCCTAACATGTCTGACAATGATGCTTTGTTCAATTTCATGGATGGACTCCAACAGTGGGCGAAGACTGAGCTTAGGAGGCGTAGAGCGCAAAATCTCGCTATTGTCGTCGCCGACGCGGAAAGCTTGGTTGATTACACAAAGGAGTCTACAAAACTAAGGGAAAAGAAGAGCAATTATGTCAAAAGTGGGGGAGAAAATGATCAATACAAGGAAGAGACCCGTCGCAAATCAACCCCAACCAAGGCAAAAGATAAGGGAAAGCCTAACAACAACAACAAAACTAAACCACATAACAACTTCTTCATTTATGGAGGAACTCATTGGGCAACCGATTGCCCTAAGAAGAAGGCTCAAAACTCTCTCCTATCAAGTCATCAAGAGGAAGAATGAAGCAATATGGAAGCACAAGTGGGAACAATGCAATTGCTTAACGTGATACATTCCTCACCAAACGCCCCGGCAAAAGGACTTTTTTATATCAATTTTGCATAAAATTTAACACACACAGATATATATATATATATATATATAATATTGAAATAAAAAAGAATACAAAAAAGTTGTATGAGAGGAGGGTCCAATAGATGATGTCTTACTCATACGATACATGGTACAAATATATCCTAACAAAAAAATACAAAAAACTCAAAAAAAGGAAAACATGCAAAAACAAGTGTCTATGAACGAGGCAATTTAGACCTGCCTCTTCCTCTGGTTCTTGGAGCGGATCCAAATAGCAAACTCTGAAATGTTGTTCCATTGCCAGAAGTGACAAAGGTATCATTCATTAAGTTTCCAAACTGAACAGTGTCTTCAGCCTTCTTCCTCCGCCGAGAAGTGTAAACTTGTCATTTTTCTTCTGGAGACTGTTCAGTCTAATCCGTAGAAAGAAAGTCAGTTGCAGCGATGAGTTCCTGAGTTTGTGTAGGACAGTCTTCCAAAACTTGGGAAACACCTGCCCTCTCAACAGGTAGTTCTACCAACTGATTAATTGCAGTAAGATGGTTTGTGTTTGGCTCTAAATCTTCCTCATTAGTATTAGGAGACACATTTTTTGTCATCTGAATGTGAATATTCATTTCATCCTTATCTTCAGTCACCTCATAGAGGGGAGCGTGAGCACCCTCCACGGTAGGTAGAGCTTGAGAGGGTAGTATGTCCACTCCAGTAGAAGAAGGGGCAGTGACCGCGTCCTGCCATCTAGGGGCAACCACCTGACTCTCCTCCAACAAACGTTGACATTTTCCGAAACAATATCAGTAGACAAACCATTTTGCACCATATCCACCATGGGCATAGCAATAGGTATCACAAGAAGTGATGAAGAAGATATAACCTCCGCAGAAGAAACCGGAGGTGGGGCTACAATAGACCGAAGATGGTGATGCAACCGATAACAGGATGAAGAGCTATGATCAAACATTCCACAGTGAGAGCAGTATTGGGGATGAGGTCCCATCACAATCTTCTGCCAATAACCCTGATGAGAGGAGCCAATCCAAATCTCCCCTCGAAAGGGTTGAGTGATGTCACGCTCTACAAGCACACAAGCTTCAGATGGTCTGATTGTATCAAGCATGGGAGTATCGACCTTCAGCGGTTTCCCAAAAGCAGTTGTCAATGTATAAATTGTTTCATAATTGAAGAGATGCACCTTGAGCCCTGGAAAATTAACCCAACCCGGGATAATAAGATATTCCAATTTAGGATCAAAATCTACTGTCCATTTCAGAATTTTCATAAAGCGATTATCAATTTTGAGAACTTCTTGAGCAAAAAGTTGAGTATAATCTGCGTTATATGGAGTTAAATGAGAACGTGACGGTCATCTAGCGAACCAACTTTCCAACTCCCTGTGAGCTTAAGAGAATCGAAATGCTTTCTAATAATCTCAAGCTTGGGATTTCCATACAAAAATTTCCCAACAATAGTATATCTACATGCTGAAGCCAATATACTTGTTTCCTCATCTGTGAGAAACAAAGCGGGTTTGTCATTCTTTCTTCCCAGTATTTTAATGAAGGTGTAACCACCTCCAGATTCATGTGCATTGTGAAATTCTTGAGGGAAGAAACAGGAACGATCGCCTGCTCCGGGAGTAGAACCCCCGGAGACAGCCGCCGCATAACTCGAGGCCATTCCCCAAAACCGGAACCAGAAACAGGGAACGCAAATCTCGAAAGCAGACGAAAACGGCCACAGACTGCGACCAGGGAAGAAGGTTGCGACCGGAATATTGCAGCGTAGGTAGCAGACAAGAACGCAGTTTGCAACTGGGGACGAAAGCTCGGCCGACGCACTCGAATGCAGACGACAACGAAACAGACGACGACGGAGAACGACGCAGTCTGAGACGCAACCAAGGACGTGCGAGTCTGCGTCTGAAGCCTACAGAACAGTAGCACGGCGAGGAAGATGGAGTGAAAGTTGGAGGCTAACGCTGGGTTTCGCCATCGGGCGAAACCCTAGCAGAGGAATTCATACTAGTCTATATATATGTATATCTGTGTGTGTGTGTGTGTGTGTGTGTGTGTGTGTAATTATTCGAGCTAAATTTGAACCAAACACAAGCTGAAACTAACACACGAATTCAAATCAAATAAGACCACGAACACATTACTCATGAGCCAATTTCGAACAAAAAAATTTTCAAATGAGTTGAACATGAATAAACACTGAGCTTGCAAGTTCGGCTTATTTACACCCCCTAGTGACCCGTCTATGCATATAAACATTCAATATTGAAAGTAATAAATTACTAATCTAAGCATGAGACCTAGGGGTGTAAACAAGTCAAGCCGACTTGAGCTTGACTCAATTACAAGCTAACAAGCCAAGCTTATCAAACCTTGAGCTCGAGCTCAATCCAAATATAAAAATCAAGTGCTTATCGATCTCGAGTTCAAGCTAGAGGCTACTCGGCTCGTAGGCTTATCAAGTAGCTTGTAAGGTGGTACCATTGCAGTCGTAGATTTAGTGAACGGGCAGGGGAATGGTTGTGATGAGTTTAGGGGTGTCAAGAAGTACATTAAAGTTACTATCCTAACCATTTCGACTCCCAATAAAATCTAAAATATGTCGGCCTCACCTCAAGCTTTCGCCCAACACCCTCACTCGCCACACACTCTCACGGCTCGTCCTCTCTCAACTCTCGATAAAATCAATCTATAGTTTCCACCTTGTGTCGCCCCAAGATCACGCCCAATGCCCTCTCGATATAATAATTTGCTTCTATTCTCTCTTTCTCATTCTATTGCTCGCTTGCAACCTAAGGTTCACCATTGGGGTTGGGGATTTGTCCAAACTTAAGATGGGTGTAGAAGATAGGTTACAGTCAAAGAGAAAAGTGATGGAGTTGTGGGAGAGCTGGGTTAGGTTCCTGAAAGCATGTGAATGCTTCTTGGTCTAGGAGAACTCACTTTTTATGTGTGGAGTTGGGCCCTTCGGGATTTGTCCAAAATGGAACTAGGTGTCAGAGCTTGGTTGAATAGTTAAGGTGAAGAGAAATGGAGCAGTGCGAGAGCTGGTAGAGGCTCCTCGACGCCCTTGAGATTCTTTGGGGACGATAAATTAATTTTTTTATAGCCATTGTCATATCCCTTGTTCAAAATCAAAGCCTTAAATCAAGTTCAATATTAAGCCAAGATCGGGCTTTCGAGCCTTCAGCTCAAGTCAGAAAAAATTATCACGACCCAAGTTCGAGCTCAATATACGAACTCAAGCTCGAGCCAACCATATCTCTCATGAGCCGAGTCGAGCTCGACTTTTGGTGTGGTTCGAGCTCGCCTCGACTCATTTACAACCCTAATGAGACCTATGAAAGTTTGGGTACAATTACAAAAAAACAAGTTGCCATCAAGGCATCATAAAGCATGAGTCCGTTAATGTAGCTCGACATATACCTTGTTATGGTGAACAGGTTGAAGAGCCCAGTTTCCTTCAGCAAACCTATCAAGTGCATATCCCTCTACGTAGAGCGTATTTGGCATTGGCCAATACAGCATTGCTGCATTCAGAACCTGCCATTTTATCACAGAAAGATCTAAGAACATTTAGTCTAATAAATTCTATGAAATCAATATGAAGTATATTTTCTTGAATAATTTGTAGCAGTTGCAACAGTAACGAAAGAAAAATGAGAAAATGTTCATTTCAGTGAAGAAAAATGATTTAAATGCACGTATCAGTTCTATGAAGAAAGTCATCAAATTTTTAGTATAACGCTGGGTGAAAAGAAAAGAGCTTTATTTCTAGGAAGATTTACATACATACCACTTAATTTCCATGTACTTAAATATCTCACCTAAACTTCAATTTTCACATACATAACACCTTACCTATGCTTGGAATGAAGTATTTCACTTCTTAGAAGTTAAAATGGCGGTCTTTTTGATATGATATGAAAGAGTTGGGTGGCATTAATATAAAAAAGTAAAATTTACGTGTTAGATTTGCAAATTCATAGCATACTTCATATGTGGAAGCACACATTACTAAAAAGTTGACAAAGATACTTGAAATAATTATGTGGAAGTCCTATCAAAGGCTGGCTTGCTTAAAAAAAATAGGACAGCTTGTTAGGCTGAACATTAATGTATGTACAATCTAAATTGAAAATTAACAGATTTTTCCATGCAACAAACAGCTAAAAGGCAAGCTGACCATCATTTATCATTTCCAAGATAGTTCTTTGCTCCATTAGGCAGCCTATGAAGCCATAATGGGAAAATGTTAACATTTTCTCTTTTAATAGCTTAAACTCCGACTTAGAAATGGACGACAATAGCACTGCAAAAAGAAACCGACCATAAGAGATTTGCTTATTTACAATAAGGTTGATGTTTTCCTTAACCTTGAAGCATGTCCCTACTTCCAAGTTTTTCCAACTTAACATCACACATTGGTGAGGAAGACATTTTCTCATTCCTTTAATAATTTCTAAGAGAAATGTAGACGGTAAATGCCTTCTTTTGCACAAAACAAGGAAAATTTTACATAGTAGCGTACAATTCTTATTTATTTACATCTCACACCGAAGCTTTCGTATTTACATATATAACACATTGGTGCTTTAGCCCTATGTATGAAAATGTGTATTTCACTTTTAAATGTGATGATAGTACTATTTTTTATTTGATATTAAAGATTTGATTGCTATGTGTGTAAATACGAAAATTTAGGTAAGATACGTAAATACATAATAATTGTGTGCCGTGTATGTGAATTCCCCATCAAAATAATAGAATGATTAGCAATCAAGACCATTTTCAAGTTCTTCTGCAGGTTGACTTCAGCATTTCAAGTAAATAAAAAACAAATAATTAACAAGGAAACTGACAGAATTTGCTCATTGACTGATTAACCTGAATTCGGCCATCCTTCCAAAATCCCATGCAATTATAGTAAACAGTTTTCTACAAAAAAGTATTCAAACTAACCACAAATCCTCAAAATACCCCATCTTTAATGAATCTCTTTGTGCTAGTTCAAACCAAGAATGTGACATTGCTCCAGTGCGCCAAGATAGAGGCAAATGATTTCTATCATAATTTCTGTTGACAAGAAGAGTTAACACCACATGGAAAATTGATCAGATATGAATGGAGAAGGATTCTGTTATGGCGTCGCCTAGAGCAATTTAGTCTTTATTAGTCTAAGAGCAAGTTAGTACCACTGTATGCTTGACATTAAGCTTGACAATATGCTTGAGAGGATCGATCGGTTGTTACAGTATGCTTGACATTGAATTAGGCGTCTACTGCAACCTTGCTCGACAACTTCATGCAGCAGTAGAATGGATGCAGTAGAATGGATGCACGAATCCATCGGGCGATAGCCCTGATACCATATTTCAAAGAATAACATGGGTATTGAGGAATGAATTCATCGTCTTCATTACAGTAAAGGCAAGGTCATTAAATGACCTCAATGGAATATTCTAGTATCAAACTCTAGCCTATAACATGAATAACCTCAGTTGGTTATAAGTAATATACTCTCCACCTTGGTGTTATCAGAACAATTGATTATGCTCTCATGATTCAGTTATGGCTATATTTCAGGAAGAAGGCACTTCCTCAAACCCTTGGGAAGATCTTGTCAATCAGGAAGAATGAAAATCAGACAGTTAAATTAAGAATATTCTATAATTAGAAGCTTCCTTATTTCCAATATTTTTATGCTGATATATTTCCCTTTTAACTGAATATTTAGATTAGGAATATGTATTATTAAGTTACCTAAAATAAACTATATGCACTTTATTTTGTACCTAAAAAAGATTATAAGATTGTTATTTAATGGAATGAAAGCAAAGGGAAAAGAGCAATCGAGCCTATTCAGAATTCAGTCTATTATTCTCAAAACTTTGACATGGTATCAGAGCCTAAATTTTTACCCTGATCACTAGTAATCGTTGAAGAACCGTCAAAACACCCTTCCCGCCAACCTTCTTGCGGGAAGGGAAGAAGGTTGGCGGGAAGGGAGGAAGGTTTTTTCTACCCCACAACACTCAGATGGCCATGTCTTCTTTCGTCGTCTCGCTGGCGCGGGCAAATCTATCGTTCCGCTCGACCCTAAGTCTAATGTTCTTGAAACGCTTCTTCCACTCTGTCGTTCCCTCTTCCCTGCATCCTATTGGCATTGTCTCCTCCATGATCAGCGGTATCACGCGCCGTCGTCCGATACCTTATGCTTACGTGCAGCTCGTAGCTGGAGCCGACGCTGTCAGGCTCAACCAAATCCTTTGCAGAATCAATTGGTCAGATGACTCTCCCGACTGAGATGGCGCCTCTGTTCCCTGGCTGCGATTATGAGCACTGGCTCATCGTTATGGATAAGCCAGGCGGAGAGAACGCTACCAAAGAGCAGATGATAGATTGCTACGTCAAAACCCTAGCCAAGGTTGTTGGAAGTGAGGAGGAAGAGATAAAGAAAACTTACTTTGACTGCATGGAGACGTTGTCATGGATTTCTTCTACTTTGACCGCATGGCGTGAAAATCAGGGAACAAATCGTCATCTTCGTAGCAAGAAGAATCAATAGCATTTGGATCGTATAACATAACGTGGATCCTACTTGTCGGCAATGATCGATAGCATCTAGATCGTGTAATTGGAAGCGGATCTTTCTTGTGGCTATTATTCGAATTTCTGGACGACAGTGATAAAGGATTTCTTGCTTTTCTTTGCTTGAATCATGTTATGGTTCAGGAGTTATCTCTCAGGCTTCAACACTCTTAGGCTTCGACACTCTCAGACTTCGGCCTCTTAGGTTTCGGCACTCTCAGGCTTCGGCCTTTCGGGCTTCGGCATTTTTCAGGCTTCGGCATTTTTGGGCTTCGGCACTTTCAGACTTCAGCACTTTCAGGCTTCGGCACTTTTAGGGCTTTGGCACTTTTAGTCTTCGACACTCTTGGGCTTCGGCACTCTTGGGCTTCGGCACTCTTAGGCTTCGGCACTCTTAGGCTTCAGTCTTTCGGGTTTCGGCATTTGTAGCCTTTGGCATTTTTGGGCTTCAATAATTTTGGGTTTTGACACTTTTGGGCTTCGGCACTTTCAGGCTTTAGGCTTCGGTACTTTTGGACTTTTGCATTTTTGGGTTTCAACATCTTCGACACTTTGAGGCTTCGCCACTCACGACTTGAAAATTTTTTGTCCCGACAAAGTCATCAACTTATTGTTGGCAAATTGAAGTTTCATAATCAGTCAGCATTAATTTGAGGGGGGTGTCAATTAGAAAGAATGGAAATCAAACAGCTAAATTAAGAGTTTTCTATAATTAGAAGTTTCATTATTTCCAATGCAAAGAATGAAATATTATATTTGCACAGATATTTCCCTTTTAGCTGAATATTTATATTAGAAATAAGTATTATTAAGTTACCTACAATATATTATATGCACTTTATTTTGTACCTAAAATAGATTGTAATATTGTTATTTAATGGAATGAAAGCAAAGAAAAAAGGGCAATCGAGTCTATTCAGAATTCAGTCTATTATTCTCAAAACTTTGACAGATTTGCACCCTTCAAACCCCACAATGACTTCACTGTGAAGAATGACCTGCAGATAATTTTTTGAGGCGCATTTTTTTTAAAAAAGGGCAAAATTTATGCACCAAAACTTAAAAAGAGATCATATGGCTTAATTCTCCATTATTGAATCAACTAAATGGCCAAACTCCAATACAAAAGGATCAATTTTGTTTGGCACAAATGTTAAAAATGATGTGACTTGCCCCTCAGATGTGTGGTTCACCAGGTATCAAAAGACCCAAAATCAGCACAATAGCGTATAAATTCCCAGGTATCAAAAGACCCAAAATCACCAGGTATCAAAGACAAATGTTTCTGCCGGCGACGAGCTAACGTATAACCAGCATCTCACACTTTCGTTTGTTTTGATTTTCTTTTAATTAATCTCTAGTTGAAATGAAACGGTTTGTTTACCAACAAGCTATGTCGTATCATGACGGGATTCTCTCCTTTTCATTCCTGAGAAAACTTATCTCAACACTTCTTTGCTTTCAGGTTCGGCTATTGAGTTGAGTGTCGAAAGTCCTTACAAAAGGTTATAACCCTGGCTTTGACACTTAGTATATTGGCAAAAGATACGCAGAAAGCAAGCTCAATCTAAAGGAAGCCTGGTTTGAGAGCCTCGGCCGGACCCAAAACTCTTGATTAAAACCAAAGCAACCAGCTACAAACAATTCGCGACAAAAGGGTTAGGCCTTTCTTTCTTTCGAGCTCTACTAGTATCCATTTTTTACACTTTAAAGAAGATTCGTAAACTACTTTTGATAAGTACACCTTTCTTAATGAGATCTCAGGACCGAGAAATTACATTGGGATGCGAGATGAGGCAATCGGCCACCGAAGCCAGAGTTCGTGCAACTGGCAAAGCATCACCGGCGTAGCCACCAATAGTAGCCCCCACCCCCGTCGGAACCACCATTACCGTCGTATATGGCCTCTGATACTGCGGGGCCATCGCAACCAGTACATGGTCAAAATAAGATGAAAATGGCAGACAAACTCACCGGGAAATAAAGAGGTTTGGCTCTTGCCTTAGAAATGGGAAAAGCGGAGCAACTGAAGCGGAGCCGAGGAAGATTGGGATATCTAAAGGAGTTGGGACACGATGGAAGGCTGCAGACACCTCCCAAATTCATCCAACAGCAGGAAGATACTGCCATTGGAAAGAAGAGGGAAAACATTGGCGCAACCTTTAACTATAACAGAGAATGGCATAAACGACTTTTCAGCTATATGGTAAGAACGAATGTCGGAGCTAAGATCACGGTGGTCTATGGTCTATATCGGTTACCGATCTGTATGCAATAATTTTTTTACATCATGGTGCGTTGAGGATGTATTTTTGATGGGCCTAACTTTTTTTTTTTTTTTTTTATTGCATATTTCCGGTAGGTCACCGTGATTTATGGTGTAGATCGGCATCACATACATCTCTGCATGTGGTATCCGTATGCAATAATTTTTCAGATGGTAAAAAGTATTTGGTGTCCTTACCGAATATTTTCTTACATTAGGTATATTGACGGTAGAAACCCGATAAAATATTGCATCCGGAGCGCTGTGTGTCTGGACTTCGAAGAGATTTTGCCAATGGTGAGCCCGAATAAAACATAAAATAAGAAGTTTTAAAAATTTAATGCATGACTACGTCTGATCCAGTCTATTGCTTTGAAAGAAAAATCCTTCTTGCCGAATAAATTTTTATTTTCTTCTAACATCATTGGGTAGGTTTCACATAATAATTTTCTCAATCTCTCTCCCCCTTAATTAGAAATATTGATAATAAAATATGGCGGAAATTGTTAGATTTTTTAAATGAAGGTGATTGAATCTCAAAATAATGACAATAAGTTCAAAATGAATACGAGTTTGGATGTATTTGAAATGTCAACATTAATTTATGGTGTTATTGTGTTATTATTGAGGTGTTATTGTAATGTTATTTTATGACGTTATTGTAGTGTTATTATGATGTTATTGTGGGGTTATTGTGGTGTTATTGAGATGTTATTGTAGTGTTTTTTAGTGTTATTGAGGTATTATTTGAGTGGTATTGTCGTCATTCTATGGTGATATTCGACTAGTGTCATTATAGTGTTATTGCAGTATCATCATAGCATTATTCATGTTTTATCATGGCATTTTTTAGTGGTATTATGGCGGCTTTGTGGTGGTATTTGACTGGTGTTATTGTGGTCTTATTGTGATATTATTGATGTGTTATTGATGTGTTATTGTGATGTTATTGTGGTGCTATTTGAGGTGTTATTATGATGTTATTACAATATTTTTGTTGTGTTATTGAGATATTATTAATGTGTTTTTTGAGTGTTGTGGCAGCTTTGTGGTGATATTCGATTGATGTTATTGTGGTGTTATTTAAGTTGTTATTATGATGTTATTGCAATATTTTTTGTGTAATTGAGGTGTTCTTTAGGTGGTATTATGATGGTTTTGTGGTGATATTTGACTTGTGTTATTGTGGTGTTATTTGAGATGTTATTATGATGTTATTGCGATATTTTGTGATTTTACTGAGGTGTTATTAGAGTGGTTTTGTGGCATCATTGTGGTGGTATTTGACTGGTGTTATTGTCGAGTTATTGTGGTATTTTTGTGATGTTATTGAGGTATTATTGTGGTGTTATTATGATGTTATTGCGATATTTTTTTTTGTGTTATTGAGATCTTATTTGAGTAGTATTGTGGTAGTTCTGTGGTGGTATTTGACTGGTATTATTACGATATTATTATAGTGTGGGTTATTATTGTGGTGTTATTATGATATTATTTGGGGTATTATTATGTTGTTTTTATGGTGTTATTACAATATTATTATTGTATTGTGTTGTTATTGATGTGTTATTGTGTGATTATTGTTGTGTTATTGTAATATTTTTTTGTTATTGAGATGTTATTGAGGTACTATTGAGGTGTTATTTGTGTGGTGTTGTGGTTGCTTTGTGGTGGTATTATATTTGTGTTATTGTGGTGTTATTATGATGTTACTGCGGTGTTATTGTGGTATTATAGCGACATTTTTTAGTATCATTGAGGTTTTATTTGAGTACCATTGCAGTGGCTTTGTGGTGGTATTTGACATGTGTTATTGTGATGTTATTATAGTATTATTGTAGCATCTTTTGAGATATTATTGAGGTGTTATTTAAGTGGTATTGTGGCGCCTTTGTGGTGGCATTCGACTGGTAATATTATGGTGTTTTTGTGATGTTGTTATTGTGTTATACTGATATTATTAAGGTGTTATTTTGGTGTCATTGGAATATAAATTAAACAATCTTTGTCGTGTTGTCTTGGAGATCTACCTCCTTATCGATGATTGTAATGTGCATCGGAGTTAGAGATTCCACACCTTCTTTTATTGCTTGTTTTACTCATTCAATATCTAAAAGTAACCTGACACCACTAACAGTTGGAGTATCTACGATATTTTTTATTGTTTGTTGTTCCACGACATCATTATTGTTTGTTGTTCAGTTGATTTATGAACATCAATATCTTCTTTTATTGTTTGTTTTGTTTGTTCAATATCTACAAGTAACCTCTTACCCCCAATGGTTGAAATATCTACAACATCATTTATTGTATGTTGTTCCACAACATCTTTTATTGTTTGAACATCTACATAATTTTTTTCATTCACTTTAACATCTTCCTTCTATTTTGTCTGACCTTAACCCTTAGAATTATATTGTCAAGCGAGAATTGATATGTTTCTCTCTTCATTGAACTTCTGTCTAATTACATTATTATAATTTTTAATTTAGTAACTTCACTCTTCAGGTCTGTAACTATATTATGCAAATAAGATACTTTACTGCTTCTTGATTTTTGAAATTCATAAGGAATTTTATTTTGATTTATAAGTAATTGAATAATTTCTACGAATCCTTTATTGACCCCTATGCACGTTGGTTGTGGAGTGACGTTACTTGACATGAGAGGGACCACATCAAATGAAATTGGTGATTGTTGTATGGAATGAGTTTCATGGGTGATATATTGTGACATTTTAACTAGATTTGGTAGTCCTTCAACTATAGGAGCAATCAAGTTGTTCAAATCCAAAAAGGAATTGAAAACTTACAATGAACAATAATTACAAGCACACTGAACTAAATTTTGCAAAAAAATAATAATAATAATATAATGAGATAAAAACCTATACAGTGTTGAGTTGCTTAAAAGTTTGATGTATCAGGAATAGGTCCCATCTCACATTTGTTGACCACCTCAACATGCTAGGCCCGACCTCAGGTGCAGCAGGAGTAACAATAGATGCATGCTCATAAACAAAGTGTAAAAGTTAAATAATAATTTGCTTTGACTAAAGAAAAAAAAATTACGTAAACATCACACTAACTGTTACCAGAAAAAACAAGATATATCTCAATGATTGATTCCACTTTAATCATATGACAACGACAATCACTTGATTAATAAGAAACTTAAATTGCATCAGGTCAATTATAAAAAGGAAAAAATGTACATTCTCAACAAAAATGTAAAGCCCTTTGGACACACTAAAGTTGCTTGAAGAAAAAAAATAAATTTATTAACAAAAACTTTAAAAATAGTTCATCAAATGACAAAGAACACTCCCCAGATAAATCCTTCGCCATCTCATTCTTTAACTGTCTCAAAGTTACACCACAGGAGGGGGATTTATTCCAATGTACTTGTTCTCTCCTGTTGGGCTTGTCTATCAGTAGGCCAACTGGTTAGAGTCTAATATTAATTCTTTTGCATCCTTCCTGAATACACTCTGTTGATCATCCCAACATTTCAGGATGTGTAGTATTAGGAAATCATCTTGCAGATATAGAGATAGATAAAAAAAATTGAAGCACATTCAAAACTTTCAAGGTGAACAATGAAAAAAATATGTGCATACAAATTAGAAACCTAATAACATCAAAATATATGCCCATAATACAACACAGATATGTTCATGCCAAAATAACAACAAAACATATACATGGTAACACTAAATATGTCTGGACAAATTGACACCCTTATTTCACCAAATATGTTCAGAATACAACATATATTCACCACAATAACACTGAATCAACAACAGAATAATATTATGTTGCCACCAAAATGATTATGTTATACAACTGAGATACCATCAATGTAACACCAAATTAACACATTTACACAATCAAATTACCATAAAAAACATGCATGCAAAAGCAATAACTCAACATCAAATAACCTACATGCAATAACACCAACTTACAATACCACTCAAATAATATCACAATAACACCTCTATAACATCTTAATAACACCACAATAACATATTAATAACACCCCAATAAATTCAGTCAAATACCACCACAAACCACCATAGTTCCACTAAAAAAACTTAACAATAATACCAAAAAACACCATAATAACATCTCAATAAACTAGTCGAATAACACTCAAATAACTGTGTAATAACACCTCAATATCTCAAAAAAAATATCTTAATAACAATATAATAACATCATAATAACATTGCAATAACACATCAATAAGACTTCAATAACACCACAATAAAATCACAATAACAACAGTCAAATATCACCACAAAACTGTCATAATACTACTCCAACACCACAAAAACACATCAATTACACCGGTCGAATGCCACCACAAACTCATCATAATATCATTCAAATAACACCATAATAACATCACAATAACACGATAATATCACCTAAAAATGTGAGTCGAATATCACCACAAAACTATTATAATATCATTCAAATAATGCCAAAATAACACCAGAGTGATACCAAAATAACACCATAATAACACGACAAAAAATATCACCATAGAACAACCACAATGTAGTAGTATTTTGGCGTTAATGTGGTGTTATTGGTGTCATGACTCGGTGCATTGTCAAGCAAATGTGGTTGTATATTTGTGTTATTTGTGTCGTCGTATTGTGGTGTTATTGTGGTTGTATTGTGGTGTTATTAGTGTAATGAAATTTTGTTATTATCATGCAAATGTGGTTGTACATTGGTGTTATTCATGTCTTCATATTGTGGTATTATTGCAGTATTACAGTGGTTGTATCGTGTTGTTATTGTGACTATACAATGGTGTTATTTGTGCTATGATTTGTAATGTTATTGCAGCTTTATTTTGGTTGTATTGTGATGTTATTGTGTCATTATTATAATTTTATTTTGGTGTTATTGTGGTTGCATAGTGGTGTTCTTTGTGTCGTCATATTGTGATGTTATTATGGTTGTATTGTGATTGTATTGTCGTGTTATTGTGGTTGTATGGTGGTGTTATTCATGCATT